AAGATCACGTTGTAAAAGGTATAAAAAGTTCAATTGTTCTACTGTAAAGACATTATATAATTTGGAAATACAAACGAGAGATTTTTTCTCTTAGAACTTTGTACTTTGTTTTGCTTGTTTATTTTAGTTTTATGAATACATCATAAAATACAAGTTTGGATCAATAGAGTATTGTGTGAGATTCCACTAACCTCTTGTTTGTGTGGAATAATAATTTGTGAGATTCAATGAATGACAACCCAATCTCCATCTTCACTATTGTCCCAACGTCCATTTCAAACCGTAGGCCTTGAAACTATTGGACCATAAGTTTGGTATAATTCCGAATCTTTTATCAATTGTGGGCTAGGGTTGACAAACAGTAGACCGCTCCCTTCCGTGAAAAACCCCAACTTTGTAAGTTCGAATTGCTTCCCTTTTCAGTCTAAAATAAAAGAGAATTGCTGCCATTTATTTTTCTTTTTGTTACAAATAGATTTCGAGACTTATTATGATGTGAATTGATGGTTTACCTTCAGAGTCACTCCTAGCAATATTGGGAATTTTCATAAGTGGAGTCGAAAAAGTGGTCTGTAACCAGTAAAACTATTATGACAAAAAAAAAAAAAAATCTATGAGAATGAGAATGTGGTGCTTGACAATACCGACCAAGAAAATTAAATTTCTTAATATTGCTGAGGGAGCAAGAGAATAACAGAGTTGTGTATACACTATGAACAATGGAGTAGTTTGTCTCAGTAAAGACTATTCCTTCTTTCTTACTTTCTGCTAACTTTCACCAATAATCCATGCAGGAGCATGAGCCATCTTCGAAATGGTGAAAGCGTTTCCGGTCCCTTACCGTTATCTTTCTCTTGTAAACCTTGGAGATGAGTTTGATCGACGAATGACAATCCTCACAGATGCGTAGGTTCTTAACAATGCGTATAGATTTGTTTGGGCTCGTGCTTATTAACCCAAACGCAACAGCGATCTTCTCGCTGTGGTAATGAAGTGCGTTTTCTTTATCTTCTTCCTCCAATTTCAACAAAACCTGTGTGGTGATCGGTCTATACCCAGCTACTCTCAGTTTATCTGAGATTTCTACAAGCATTGACTTGATTTCTTTGGCTCTCGGGTGAGAATCATCTTCCACAAGAAATTCATGAAGCACACCATCAATGTCGATCCAACTACACCCAGGATCTTTTCTTATATCCATCTTCTTCATTCTCAGCCTCATCTCTGAAACCTCTGCCCAGTTTCCTTGAGAAGCATACAGGTTTGAGAGGGCGACGTAAGCTCCACTGTCATTAGGAACCATATCCATCAAAATGTTGGCCACTCGCTTGCCCATCTCCACATTCCTGTGCATCCTGCAAGCACCTAAAAGAGCTTTCCATACCACGTCATCTGGTTTTATAGGCATATTAAGTATTAGCTCCTCCGCCTCTTCAAGAAGACCCGAGCGACCCAATAGATCGACCATACACCCGTAGTGTTCGATCCTAGGCTCCAAACCATCCACATTCACCATTTGACTGAAATACGTCCTTCCTTCTTTTACCAATCCAGCATGGCTACAAGCGGTCAAGAGATTGATGTAGGCAACGTCACTAGGACGAACTCCGGCCTGCCTCATTTTACAGAAGCAGTTAATGGCATCACCTGCCTGGCCGTGTATAGCAAACCCGTTAATCATAGCACTCCAGGTAATCACATTCTCTCGAGGTAATTTCTCAAACACCTGAATTGCTTTCTCGATGAGTCCACATTTGGAGTACATGTCAATTAAAGCAGAGCCAAGCACATCATCAATCCCAATCCTGCTATTGGTTGCATACATATGCAACCATTCTCCTAGTTCTAGCAACCCAAGCCGTGAAATCGCAGGAAGAACACTAACCAAAGTAACATAATTGGGGTGTAAATCTCCTTCCCTCATCTCACAGAAAAGCTCTACTGCATCCTTAAACAAACCGTTCTGTGAATAACCGGATATCATCGTGTTCCACGAGACAACACTTCTCTGACGCATTTTATCAAACAACACTCTTGCAGCTTTACAATCTCCAAGTCTCATATAACCATCAATCATCACATTCCATAAGACCACTTCACCATCTCTCTTTCTTCTATCCATCACCATATCTCGTTCTATAATGCTCTTATAGAACAATACGCAAGCATCCTTCATCAAACCACACATCACATACATTCTAACGAGATTGCTCATCACGAATTCGTCACCACCCAATCCAAGCTTCAAAGCCAACCCGTGAATTTGCTTACCTTGTTCAATCCTCCCTGTTTTTGCGCACGCCTTTAGCACAGACGGAAACGTGAACCGGTTCGGCTCCACAAACTCATCGCTCATCATCTCGCAGAATAATGTGATTGCGATTACCGCTTTGTGTTCGTCTCCCTCACTGAAACCCCTGATTATGGTATTCCAAGAGAAGCAATTCCTTTGAGGCATCTGATTAAAGATCTTATGGGCATAGTCGAGATCGCGGTGAAGGAGATCGGAGGTTGCACAGAAACGGAGGATCTCTGCGGCTGCGAGAGTGTCTCGCATTTGACCAGATTTGACGAATATGGCATGGATTTGGGAGAGGTCTCGCATAGTTCGACATCTGCTGATCTGAGGAAAGAGAGACGACGGGTGCTTCACCGGAGATGCCGATGCCGGTGAGCTCCCGCCGGTCGAGTAAAGCGTCTGGGTCGGGTTCATGAAGAATCGAGATGGTTAGGATCGTGTGGCTCTTTACATAACAAGATAGTGCATCAGTCGAACGATTGGGTAGCTTACAATTGTCTAAAATCTTTTCTTTTTCCTTTTGACGTCAAATTCAGTTTAACATCGGTATTAGAATTTTTGGTTACAAAAATCAAAATGAAACTTTTTTTAAA